AATTTGTTGGATTAATTATCCATTAGATTGATAATCTTGAAACAAAATTTCAAAACAAACACAGGATTATTGGGCCCACGGATCTATAATCCCAATCCCATGGTCTAATCCTGTCAATCAAATATGCCCTTTGATACTTAGAGATTCTAGCATATTATGGTTAGGTGGAAGATTCTGGCTTTGAATATTGTGCAAGTGTGGCTGCACCTTGTAGAGGAATTCCACAAAGGAGCAAACTACCTCACTTTTTGTTTCCCTATAATTCTAGCGTCTGTGTGTTTAAGAACACATGCACAATACTACTAGTTTATGCACAAATGTTAATTCAATCCAACTTTCTCCATTTTCGTTTTTTTTTTTCAAAATTAAATCTCTATTAAAAAATTTTAGATCCATGGGAGAGAGCAAATTTGAGTTGTTTTCCTCAAGTTTTCAACCTGTACAGTTTCTTCTTCTTGTTGGTCTCATCCTTGGTCTTTATTGCTTTTGGACAAAAATCCATTTGAGGAACTTTTTGACTTAGCTTTGGTTTTTTGTTTAATTTTAGTGGAGGAAATTGGAAACACAAGTGAAAGGTTATTGTTGTACGGATTCTGCATTTACGTTCCAAGTTTTGGAGAATCCTTGTGCAGCTTTTCAGGATCCTCTTCAAAGCTTTATTTTCATAGTTTCTAAATGCATTTTAAATGCTGCACGGGGCCATAACACAGTGCCACACAGGGCCTTAGCTACTTCATTCAATTTATTTAAAGCTAAATTGTAAAAGATCTTTTGCATGGATTCATTACCGATGCTTTTATTGTACGGACTTCATTTGCATGTTTCACAATGCAGGTGATAAGCAAGCTGGAAAGGCGGACTGTTGCTTACCATGAATCAGGTCATGCTGTTACTGGTTGGTTCTTGGAACATGCAGAGCCGTTGCTTAAAGTGACAATTGTTCCTCGTGGTACAGCAGCTCTTGGGTTTGCTCAATATGTACCCAATGAAAATCTTTTGATGACCAAAGAGCAGCTCTTTGATGTGACGTGCATGACCCTTGGGGGTCGAGCATCTGAGCAGGTGAAAATATCAATTCCCTCCTCTTTCCTTCTGCTATCTCTCGCGATATTGTACTGAGTTATTTAACATCAAAATTTTTAGCAGCAATTAGGCTGTTGAGTAATAAGATTCTAAATTTTCAAAACTTGGATCATTTTTACATAAGATGCTATTAACATTTGTGATTGACCATATTAAGAAACTTGTATAGAAGAAATGAAAATTTAGAATCATAATACTGATTTGAGTTAGAGTAGTTGCTTTATCTTTTAGATTCCAATTTCTCGCCTTTTCCAGTGACTCGTCAACACACAAGGATTCGGTCGCAAAGTCATGATGTGGCTTATTCCTTTAGCCGTGAAGATTGCACCTTAGGCATTTGTATAACCTAGTTGCTCTTAAATCCTAGATGTCTGTCTAGGCAATATGAACTGGTAAGAAAATTATTTATTGTGAGTGGACAGTAGAATCTTGTATGGAGGTTTCTTAGAAGATTTGAGATTGCTTGCACATATTCCCAAAATTATAATAATTTCTCATGGATTGTTACTTGGAAAAGGATTCATGTTCCTCGAAGATTGGTTAAAGGGTCATGAGATTTCTGTGTTTTTTTTTTTGGAAGAGATATTGATTCCATTTTGAGCAATTATCTAGTTTTGAAGCGGAAAAAGTGCTTCTGGTTAACCTCTTCTGTCAACTAGTCGCTTTGAACATCTGAAAATTGCTTAGCAAATTAGTAAATTTGGGTCTTTCAATTCTCATGAATCTGATTTTGCTTTGGAATTAGGTTTTGTTGGGAAAGATTTCAACAGGAGCCCAAAACGACTTGGAGAAGGTGACCAAGATGACCTATGCTCAAGTGGCGGTCTATGGTTTCAGCGATAAAGTAGGTCTTCTCTCCTTTCCTCAAAGAGAGGACGCATTTGAGATGATGAAGCCGTACAGCAGCAAGACCGCTGCAATCATCGACAACGAAGTAAGAGAATGGGTGGCAAAGGCATACAATCGCACGTTACAGTTGATAGGGGAGCACAAAGAGCACGTAGCTCAAATCGCAGAGCTGTTGCTTGAGAAGGAGGTCCTACATCAAGACGACTTGGTTCGAGTACTTGGTGAACGACCATTTAAGAGCAGTGAGCCCACGAATTATGATCGGTTCAAGCAAGGGTTTCAAGAAGATGATAAAGAAACAAAACAGACAAGCCAGGGTGGGACTGTAGAGGATGATGGGTCATCATCACCACCTTTGGAGCCTGAGGTTGTCCCAGCATAATAGTGATTTAAAAGAGGCCTGTGGTTGTATAAATTTATTTTATTGTCAGTTCCCTTCCTTTGAGGTTTACTAAATTGTAAAAATCATCTCATCTGGAAATAATTGTACTTGAATTTTTCTACATATGAGCTTACTTTGATCATGTTCACCTTTGTATATGCTTTTAGACCGTGTTTTGATCTTGAATTTGTGGAGGGAAAAAAAATAGAAGAGAAATATGAATAAAACATCAAAGAGTCTGTTGGGTTGTGTTTTTACGTTTTTCCATTTTCTTGTTTTTCGCTGGAAAGTTAAAAAGTAATTTTTTGGAGTTCTTAAGAATTTTTTTTTTAAATTTAAATTGTTGGAAAACATTTTTTGAAAAACAATTTGTTAATTAAGTTTAGCCAAACAGGCTCAATGCTTTTCGCAATTTTTTACCTCTTCAAATTCAAGATTTGAACACATTCTTAACAAATTGGACAAACAAATATGAATTACAGACATCACTGGCGACTAGGGTTAACTTCATAGGATAACGTATTGGTATCAAACTTTTTGGTTGTTTGTTTATTTATTTACTTGTTTTTTTTTTTTTTTTGTTCTCTTCCTGGTTCAACCGGCAAGAATATTAGAATTAATTTATGCACAGCTCGATTAATCTCCTCATTAGTCCCGTAAAAGTCTTTACGTCAAGATTGGAAAATTCACGAAAAACTATTTTCTTACGGCTTGATCGGCAGAATCGAATTCTAAACTGTTTTACAGGGAGCATGCCTCACCAGCCACAATCCTCAATATTGTTGTTTGTTTGTATATTGTTTATTTGGATGGCTAGTAATTTGTTCAGTTTGTATGTCTTAAAATATTTTTTTATTTGATTGAAAATTTTGAAAAGAGATTGAAAAAGAAAAAATATATATATATATATATATATATAATTAGATAAAATATATATATTTTTTTTTATGTACTCTTTTTTTAAATCTCTCAACCAAACCCCGTATGAAAGCCGTGTTTGCTTTGAAGCAAAGTCATTGTGATCATCATGTGGACAGAATAGCATTTGGGTGGTTGTAACATAAATGAGATAGGAGCAGAGTACTTTTCAAGCATCTTTATGACTCTCTCAGTCGGTTTGTGCCACACTCCTGGTTTTTGGACTTTAGTTGCTGTCTTTTTAATGAGATTGCAAGTAAATGAATGGTGCTCTCACTCTCTTTCTTTCTGGACATTATTTTTTAGAGTAATTTTTTTAAAAATAATTTTAGGATAATAATTTTTATATGATTGAGATTTGTTTTTAAAGTAATTATTAGTACTATTATATCATCATCTTAATATTATTTGACTCCCAAGTTTTATAAAATTAAATTATAATCATAAAAAAATCACTTCAAGAATTTGAATTTATTATTACAATGCTTGTTGTGCTTCTTTCTCTCCAATGACTACATTTTACGAATCCAAAAGAACTTAAATGCAATGGATTTGGCTCTCTTCTCTGTGACCAAGTCCAATGTTTGGCAAACATTTTACCACGCCATATTTTCAACTTTTGTACATGAATATATTTTTCAAGGGAGTAATATTATATAAATTAAGAAATTTTATATGTTTTTTCATTTATTGATTTGTGACATTTGTCATATTATAAAAACAAATTATAATTTTTTTTTTTTTTTGTCAATAGATAGAAAATCAATTATAAAAGTTTAAATAAAATTGAATAATTATAATTTAATAACACATAGCTAGCGAGAAGCTTAACAACCGTGACAAGATATAAATAATTCAACATAGCTCTTATAATGGGAGAAGAAGTAATCAATTTTCGCTTTTGATAAAAAAATGGTCTTTTAACATCTCAGATAGGAGTGTACATGAGCAGCCAATTAAGCTATCCTAGTTATTTAGTAATAAATTAAAATTTAAAAAAATACAATTTTGATAAGAGAAAAAAATTGATCTAATGTGGGTCCTATAATTTTTTAAATGGATCACTTATACAATTTCATAGGCTAACACATTATGCTACGTTTAAATAATTATATATATGAGATTAAATGAAATGGGTAGCATGCCTAATTTTTTTTTTTTTTTAAAAAAAAAAAAATGATTTGTAGCATGCCTAGGTGGAAACAATTGCTAAACTCATATAGATTTTATTGGGTCAATTTGCTTAATAAAAATAATATTTTAATAACTATTTATATGGTTGAAACTTGGTCTGACTGTCGTTTGCTCAACGAGACTTGCTCCGTACCTTCACTCCGAACCTCTTATTATTCGAATCCTAACTTCCACCCTTAGCCATTGGTGCAATGAAATAAAATATGTTTACATTTTACTTAATTTCATATATCTTTTTTCTTTCTCTTTTTAAATCGCTTCTCAAATTTTCTAACTAAACACAACATTATTGATTTAAATCATATGATCTATCACTTTTATTTTAGAGTTAAAAAAGACAAAATGTATTTTAGAGTTATAATTTATAAAAGACAAAATATTAAATGTCAATCTATAAATAGAATAGAGTATTGCTCCAGAAATATTGAATAATTTCTCAGATCTCTGAGAGTTAACATAGTCAGCACCTGGGTTTGAGTCTCAAGATATATATAGAAATAAATTAAAGTAATTGTAAACCCAAGATATAAATATATGTATATATATATTATATAATAAGAATAAAATTATACGCATCAATTTGTATATTAATTAGTATATTAACAAATGATGTGATATAGTTTTATTAATTTTGAGTCTTTATAATTTATATAATAAGTAGGATCCATAGTTTTGAAATTAAAATGTTATAGTATGTTTTGGTACACTAAACAGTATAGTAACTGGCTTGTGTAACACTATTGATAAATTAAAAAAAAAATGTAAATAATTTAATTTTTCACAACCCAATATGTATATAGGTATAGAAATAAATTAGGGGTAATTACACTCCAACAGGTCTCGGGAAAAAGAATATTTATGAAAAATTTTACAATTTTAATTATTAATATGTACTATGTATAAATTTTCTCACTTATTTATAATTTTTTTTTTAAAACATCAGTGATGTGATATTTTTTCAATAAATTAAAGAAAATTTGAATAATCTAATTTTTCACTAATCATTCAATTTACAGAAAGGTTATGTATAAAACCAATTTAAAACTTTCCTACCATACATGATTATGTCCTTGTTAAAGAAAGGATTAGAGAAAAAACGACTCATGGAAGAAAAAAAAAATTAATAATAATAATAATAATAGGACTTAAATCTTCTTGCAACGACAGAATATACATGTTGAAAAGGAAATCGTTTTTATTTTCATTTTCATTTTCATTTTCTTTTCCATTTCCTCTCCCGTCAATTACCACAAAGAGAAAGTGTATCCAATAAAATGAAGAAGAAACTTTTGTAATTAGCACATATTTTGTTAAACCCTTCATAAGAAGGAAAATATCCAACAATACACTACAAGAAAACATAACAAAAAACACGGAGTTTTAGCGACGCCGCGCCCCCCGTCGCAAAAAACGGTTTTTTGCGACGGTAACTGCACCTGTCGCAAATAATACCCTTTAGTGACGGTAATGACCCGTCGGTAATGAAACCAAGCGGAGGGATCGGAAATGCGGACGTATTAGCGACGGTAAATAAAACCGTCGCAAAAAACCTTTTTTTGGAGACGGCACATATCATTTGCGACGGAAATTTGCCGTCGCAAAAAAGGATTAATGCAAACGGCGCCGTTTTGCCTTATTTTTGCGACGGTCTACATCATACCGTCGCAAAAAGTCCAAAAAAAAAAACCCCTCCTTTTTCCTCTTGGCTGCCGCTCGATCCTCCTCCCCAAATCCCTAACTTCACCCCCAAATTCCCCAAACGGCCTACGAGGAAGACATCGGTGGTGCGGCGGCGACGGCTCCGGCGACAAGAGTGGTGCTCCGGCGACGACTCTCTCTCCCTCTGCGTATGCTCTCTCTCTCTCTCTCTCTCTCTCTCTCGGTCTGTGTATATATATATAAATCTGTCTATATATATATATGCAATGTGTATAAATCTATATATATATATATATATATAAATCTGAAAAATCTCTATATATATGTATATATAAATCTGTTTATCCGAAATCTATATATATAAATCTGTTTATCCGAAATCTATATATATAAATCTGTTTATCCGAAATCTATATATATAAATCTGTTTATCCGAAATCTATATATATAAATCTGTTTATCCGAAATCTATATATATAAATCTGTTTATCCGAAATCTATATATATAAATCTGTTTATCCGAAATCTATATATATAAATCTGTTTATCCGAAATCTATATATATAAATCTGTTTATCCGAAATCTATATATATAAATCTGTTTATCCGAAATCTATATATATAAATCTGTTTATCCGAAATCTATATATATAAATCTGTTTATCCGAAATCTATATATATAAATCTGTTTATCCGAAATCTATATATATAAATCTGTTTATCCGAAATCTATATATATAAATCTGTTTATCCGAAATCTATATATATAAATCTGTTTATCCGAAATCTATATATATAAATCTGTTTATCCGAAATCTATATATATAAATCTGTTTATCCGAAATCTATATATATAAATCTGTTTATCCGAAATCTATATATATAAATCTGTTTATCCGAAATCTATATATATAAATCTGTTTATCCGAAATCTATATATATAAATCTGTTTATCCGAAATCTATATATATAAATCTGTTTATCCGAAATCTATATATATAAATCTGTTTATCCGAAATCTATATATATAAATCTGTTTATCCGAAATCTATATATATAAATCTGTTTATCCGAAATCTATATATATAAATCTGTTTATCCGAAATCTATATATATAAATCTGTTTATCCGAAATCTCCTAGGTGGAAACAATTGCTAAACTCATATAGATTTTATTGGGTCAATTTGCTTAATAAAAATAATATTTTAATAATTATTTATATGGTTGAAACTTGGTTTGACTATCGTTTGCTCAACGGGACTTGCTCCATACCTTCATTCTGAACCTCCTATTATTCGAATTTTAACTTCCACCCTTAGCCATTGGTGCAATGAAAACGTGCTCTGTGAATAAAATATATTTATATTTTACTTAATTTCATATATCTTTTTTTTTTACTTTTTTTAAATTGCTT